CAGACATAGAAAAAGAAGCATAGATACAAAAGGCAACTGTAAAAAGCAGCCAGGCAGACGAGCTCTGAATTTGCCATTTATTTATGAACATAAAACTTCCTGTGCCACCATTTGAATGTGTTTATTAATGGGTTACTGAATATCATAAATCCTGAAAAGTAAAATTAATTGCTCTACATGTAAAAGCTATTTACCCTTTTACCCTATTAATCATGACTGATGAAAAAATATTATTATTATTATTATATATTTTTTTTAACTTCAATATTTGAATTCTTTTTGTAACAACTTTTAGTTTAAGGCCTAAATATCCTGATTTCTCTATGAAATGGACAAAAAAAGTGACTTTTACCTAAAGTTATATATTTCTTTCTTGTATTTAAGTAAAATTATTTTAAAATGTAACTTATATTTGACTGCAAATTTGATCTAAGTTGCTGTACTTTTACTTTAGCAAATTTGTAATCATTCGGACGGGGCCAATCAGATTTCCCAAATACTGTTATTGTAACAAATCCCTCAGGATGGATCCTCCTGCAGGCTTATTTTCAGAATGTTTTTGACCCACTTTTAGAATACTTAATTTTTTTAAATCAGCGACACGGTTACATTATTACCTTACAGGTTATATTCAGCTCCCAGCAGCCTGTTAGTATCTCAAGCATCGCCTGCACATCATCTCTTTTCTCTTTGCTGCATCGCTTTTCATTTGAAGTAAAAGCAGCCGTCAGATCGCAGCCTGGCTGGAATTACCGTCTGATTGTTTCCTCCCTGCTGTGTCCCAGTTTGACGGCTTTATCTGAACCAGTAACGCCACCAGCGGCTGGTCAGGTACCGCTGACCCGTAATTATTGCTGTTGAAACCTGACCTGCAGCTTTAAGTGGGAGAAATCTGAGCGACACTCGAACGCAGCGCATAGGTCGGTCTCCTGCAGATGATCAGGTTCTAGTTTGGATCAGTTGGTTCATCGCCTCAAACTTTAATAAGATGATTTGAATGAGAAAGCAGGAATGATGAAACTGTTTGTCCGGTTTGTCTCTTCAGTGTCAGCCAGCCGTCCCTCTTCGATCCGGGTCAGCACGTCCTGTCAGAGGGCCTCCCAGGGAGCCATCGCCCCAACATTTTACAGATACCACCTCTACCCCCTCTGTCCACAAGCAAACCCTCCCCCCTGCCGCCCTGCAGGAACTGCAGCCAAAACCAGACGCAGAACGGAACGCTTAATTTCTCCGAAGCTATCCAGCCCTCTGCCCGGCCAAGACCGGCCAGACGACACTCAGACAACCCGACGCTGAGCTCTGAGGTTCTGCATGGCGACCCCCAGCGCCGTGGCTCCCCGCCCTCCCAGGATGAAGCTCCGTCTGTGGTGGAGAAGCCAGGCTTTCTGAGCTGCAGCCCTCAGCCTGCCGACACCGCTGGACATCCAGGTCGAGCTCAGCTTCACGTCTATCTACCCAGCGAGGCTGATGGAGAGGAGGAGGATGAGGAATCTGTAGATGAAGGATTCATGGATGAACTGGACATCAGGATAACATCTCTGAAGCTTCAGGAAGTCCCACAGACCATAACTAACCAGCCTTGGCAAAACATGCGCATCCCAGACCTTCAGGTTTAAAATGGAGTGTCCCGGCACAGAACCTCATTCAGTTTGTGGACATTGACCTCTGACCCCACCAGGATATCTTCCATCTTGGCATCCCTACAAACTGCCAAAAACTGAAGCTGTAGCAACAAAGCAGCAGCTTAAATTTCCTCTGACTGTAAAAAGTCTTCAAATAAAAAACTTTATTCAATAAATTCAACTGAAACTGATTGTTTTGATTTCAGCAGAATGACTGAAATAAAGCTGGCCGATTGAATTTACATGAGGATTCACTGATATTAAAACAATCAATGGCCTTTCTGCTAAAACCATGCTGTGAAAATAGTGTAATAATTGTAATGGTGCTAATAATAATAAGGCATCTATTGTTTTTGTTTAAATTGATTGTTTAATATAATTAACAAAAATATTAAATCTCTATTTCTTGAAATAATGTAACCATTTCTATAAAATAGTTTAACTTAGCAGATAT